GTCGGCATGAGCTGTAGGGTTAGTGATGGACGAGGGCTAGGTGGTGTCCCTGGGGAGGGGACTGGAGTGGGTGCCATGTTTTTGGGGTATGCATTTGCGCGTGTACGTGCGCATGCATGTGTGTGCTTTGGCAGGTGGGTGCTGGGGTCTGACCCGCAGGGAGACACTGACAGGAGGACTTTGTGATTCCAGGCGTTTCACAGCGCGCGCCATGCAGGACCCCTCACCTTCCACCTTTTGGCCACCCCCAACAAACCGTCACCCCGCCACACACACCCCTCACCCCCAGGTGGTGTCTGAGTGGACCTTCAACAAGGACGGGGTGGACATACCACAGGTGGGGGCCGCAGGGGTCTGGGGCTTGACACGAGGGGAGGATGTGAGGGGGCCGGTGCGGGGTGCCCCGCAGGTGGGCGGGTCAGGACGCGTCTGAAGTGGACGCTCATCAGCCATTTCACGCGCATGCGCCCGCCGGCTCGCGTTTGACCACCCACGTCACCACCCCCGACTCCCGCTCCCTCCCCCCCCCCCCTGCAGGCCGACATTGCCAACGACCACAAGGCGGCCCAGCTGGAGGACGTCAACACATTTCTGGGGCTGGACGCTAACAGGTTGGGGGGGGGGGCTGGGGGGATCTGGAAGGGGAGATATGAGGCGGGGTTGCCATGGGCTCAGCCGTCCTGAATGCCCTTTGTGAGGTTGCTTTCTTCTGGCTCCAGGGAGGGGGGTGGCTCACGGGATGGTGGTGAGGTGGGAGCGCACGACGCTCTGGGGTCACCCCAAGGACTTCAGCCTCGTGGTAACCCTGAACATGTTCACTCTCCCGCAGGCTGTGCCGCTGGGATATGCGCGATCGACGGGGCGTCGTGCAGGTGTGTCTGCGTCGGTGCAGCATGTGTATAGAGTGGGTGTAGAGTGGATGTGAAGTTGTTGTAGAGTGGGTATAGAGTGGATATGGAATGGACTTAGAAACCAGTGCGACAGGCATCATTCTATGCCGCGCACCAATCCCTGCGCCCCAGTCGTCACGACAGCCATGGCTCGCTGTCATCCTGATTGCGTGCCTGTGGTTGTGAACTCACCCCCTTGGCCCCATGGCACCCCCACCCCCCTCAATGTGCGCGCAGGAGTCCCCCGCCCTGGACTGGAAGGGCGGGAAGGACTTCTCGCGCGGCACCAACTTCAGCTGCATGGCCACCAGGTGTGATTCACACTCCCACCCGTGGGGTGTTCTGTGCGTCTCGTAGAACGGG